GTGCGTTCCGGATGCTGCCCTATTCCTGCACAGAACTGTACTGGAATGCACTGGTGTATTTAAGTTTTGTGCCGCCCTAGGCAACACCAAAAAATTGGCCACCCAATACCCCCCCCCTCCTCTGCAGAAAGAGCCTGACACCAATCAACACCACCACCCCCCTGCGGAGAGAGCCTGACATTGATCAACATCCCTGCCCCCACCACCTGAGAGAGCTTTCCACTACCACCACCACCCCCCATACACTGGAAAAAAATTAACTGGTATAAGTCAAAAACGCACTGGAACACATAAAGAACACAGAATGGGCCAAAAATCAGAACCACAAATGCAATGTGTGAGATGACCCTTAAGGCAGTGGGCAGCGACGGGGTATAATTCACGCCACAGCATGTATACACCCCTGTTCGTTGCCTCAGCTGCAAGAGGAGAAGCAGTTGATGGGTGGTAAAAATGTGCCTCAACTGTGGGGTGTTGCTGCCCCCCCAATCACAAGTGTAAATGAGTCTAAAAGTAATGCCCATCAACACAACCCCTGTGTTGAAGATGTTTTTCCTCTAAAGTAGCTTCCTCCAGTCTAATGGGTGTCAGGGACCTACCCAAGCATTGTAGCCAGAGGTAAATCAGAATAAAATGTGTTAGGACAGATGCCGATTGTTCAAGAAGAAGATGGGACGTGTAAATGTTTGTAAAACTGCAGTGTTCTAATAAAATATTTCAGTTGCGATTGTGCCTGGAAGTCTGGGGGTGTGTGATAATTGTCTGAGTTGAAGGACTGGAGGTGGGAATTGTCAAGCCCCCAGGTAGAGACGTAAAAACAGCATTATATGTCAGAGACAGATGTCAAAGTCCCCCACCCTTGTTAAGTTGTTTAAGTCTAAAGCACAGGATCACTTTTACACCCCTCTCTTTACAATATGCACCTCATTGTCCTTGAAAGAGTTCCTTCACCTTGAGGTGTGGGAAGACTAGGAGTCCTGACCTGCAGAATTTGCCCTCTGATGCTGGGCTTTCACCCTCTGATGCTGGGCTTTCACCCTCTGATGCTGGGCTTGCACCCTCTGATGCTGGGCTTCACCCTCTGATGCTGGGCTTTCACCCTCTGATGCTGGGCTTCACCTTCTAAGCTGGGCTTTCACCTTCTAAAGCTGGGCTTTCACCCTCTGAAGCTGGGCTTTCACCTTCTGATGCTGGGCTTTCACCTTCTAAAGCTGGGCTTTCACCCTCTGATGCTGGGCTTTCACCTTCTAAAGCTGGGCTTTCACCCTGTGATGCTGGGCTTTCACCTTCTAAAGCTGGGCTTTCACCCTCTGATGCTGGGCTTTCACCTTCTAAAGCTGGGCTTTCACCCTCTGATGCTGGGCTTTCACCCTCTGATGCTGGGCTTTCACCTTCTAAAGCTGGGCTTTCACCCTCTGATGCTGGGCTTTCACCTTCTAAAGCTGGGCTTTCACCCTCTGATGCTGGGCTTTCACCTTCTAAAGCTGGGCTTTGCTGGGCTTTCACCTTCTAAAGCTGGGCTTTCACCCTCTGATGCTGGGCTTTTCATGCTGGGCTTTCACCTTCTAAAGCTGGGCTTTCACCCTCTGATGCTGGGCTTTCACCTTCTAAAGCTGGGCTTTCACCCTCTGATGCTGGGCTTTCACCTTCTAAAGCTGGGCTTTCACCCTCTGATGCTGGGCTTTCACCTTCTAAAGCTGGGCTTTCACCCACTGATGCTGGGCTTTCACCCTTTGATGCTGGGCTTTCACCCTCTGATGCTGGGCTTTCACCTTCTAAAGCTGGGCTATCCATTTGCTGAGCAGTTGCTTTGTCTACCCAATTTGCAGATGTCTGCCTTCCTCACTACATTGGCCTGTACAGACTATTTCCCTTGTGTTTTGGTGTTGGGTCTTTTGAATGTACAGTTGTGTTCAAAATAATAGCAGTCAGACATCACTAACCTGATCAATCACTGTTTTTGGTAGAAATTATATTTCTACATAGCAAATAATTTACTAGCAGGTGTAGTAGAGTAATAGAAATCCAACAGACCCAACAGTCATGACATGCATGCTGCTGATTCTGTGTAATTGAATCACTCATTGAAAGGGGCATGTTCAAATAATAGCAGTGTGGAGTTCTATTAGTGAGGTCATTCATTCTCTGAAAAACAGGTGGCAATTATTGCCCTTATTTAAGGAAGGAAGGCAGCAAATGTTGTACATGCTGGTTACAGTGCATTTCTCTCTGAAATTCCGAGGAAAATGGGTTGTTCCAGACATTGTTCAGAAGAACAGCATACCTTGATTAAAACGTTGATTGGAGAGGGGAAAACATATAAAGAAGTGCAGAAAATGATAGGCTGCTCAGCTAAAATGATCGCAAATGCTTTAAAATGGCATCCAAAACCTGAAAGACGTGGAAGAAAGCGAAAAACTACCATTCCAACGGATAGAAGAATAGCCAAAATGGCAAGGACTCAGCCAACAATCAGCTCCAGGAAGATCAAAGAAGGTCTAAAGTTACCTGTGAGTACTGTTACAATTAGAAGACGCCTATGTGAAGCCAAGTTATCTGCAAGAAGCCCCCGCAAAGTCCCACTGTTGAAAAAAAAGACATGTGCTGAAGAGGTTACAATTTGCCAAAGAGCACATTGACTGGCCTAAAGAGAAATGGCGCAACATTTTGTGGACTGATGAAAGTAAGATTGTTCTTTTTGGGTCTAGTGGCCGGAGAGTTTGTCAGACGACCCCCAAACACTGAATTCAAGCCACAGTACACTGTGAAGACAGTGAAGCATGGTTGTGCAAGCATCATGATATGGGGATGTTTCTCATACTACGGTGTTGGGCCTATTTATCGCATACCAGGGATCATGGATCAGTTTGAATACATCAGAATACTTGAAGAGGTCATGCTGCCTTATGCTGAAGAGGAAATGCCCTTGAAATGGGTGTTCCAACAAGACAACGACCCCAAACACACCAGTAAACGTGCAACATCTTGGTTCCAGACCAACAAGATTGACGTTATGGAGTGGCCAGCCCAATCCCCGGATCTTAATCCAATAGAAAACTTGTGGGGTGACATCAAAAATGCAGTTTCTGAGGCAAAAAACCAAGAAATAGAGAAGAACTGTGGAATGTAGTCCAATCATCCTGGGCTGGAATACATGTTCACAGGTGCCAGAACTTGGTTGACTCCATGCAACACAGATGTACAGCAGTTCTCAGAAACAGTGCTTATACAACTAAATATTAATTAAGTGATTCAAAGGAAAGCAAAATCTTCAAACATTTTTCAGTTTATATAGTGAATGTTTGAGTTTGTAAAGAAGAATACAAACTGCTATTTTTTGAACAGTCTAATATTCACTTTTCTTCAATTTTGTTTAGAGGAACAACACAAATTTGATCTATTTTTCGTCATGTTTTGATTTGGAATAGAATGTGTAGTGTTCCCAATGCATTTGTGTGTATGGAAATAAAAGCTATTAGAAGGATTTTGAACTTTATTCACTTTTTGCAACACACTGCTATTATTTTGAACACAACTGTATAAGCTTCTGTCTCAGTTTGTTGCTGGGCTAGAAAAGCATAGGATGTGACACAATATATTGCCAAAAGTATTGGGACGTCTGCATTTACACATACATGAACTTTAATGGCATCCCAGTCTTAGTCCCTAGGGTTCAATATTGGGTTGGCCCACCCTTTGCAGTTATAACAGCTTCAACTCTTCTGGGAAGGCTGTCCACAAGGTTTAGGAGTGTGTCTGGGAATGTCTGACCATTCTTCAGAAGCACATTTGTGAGGTCAGGCCCTGATGTTGGACGAGAAGGCATGACTTGCCGTCTCCGCTCTAATTCATCCCAAAGGTGCAGGCCAGTCAAGTTCCTCCACCCCAAACTGGTTCGTCCATGTCTTTATGTAATGAATGTATGTAAGGCTTGGATGCAGCTGCTCAGCCATGCAAACCCATTCCATGAAGCTCTCTACGCACTGTTGTTGTGCTAACCTGAAGACCACACAAAGTTTGGAGGTCTTTAGCTATTGACTCTGCAGACAGTTGGTGAATTCTGCACACTGCGCTTCAGCTTGCGCTTACCCCACTCTGTCATTTTACATGGTCAGGAGTTGCTGTTATTCCCAGTTGTTTCCACTTAGTTATAATACCACTAGGAGTTGACAGTAGAATATTTAGTAGCAAGAAAATTTCCCGGACGGACAGATGGCAACCTATCATGGTACGACGCTTGAATTCACTGAGATCCTGAGAGCGACCCATTCTTTCACAAATCTTTGTAGAAACAGTCTGCATGCCTAGGTGCTTGATTTTATACACCTGTGGCCATGGAGGTGATTGGAATACCTGAATTCAATGCTTTGGAGGGGTGTCCCAATACCTTTGGCAATATAGTATATCTGATAATAATCCTTCTTGGCTTCTCCCACACTCTGGCCTCAAATGGGATGACTATTATATTACTCTGTGTGTTCAGCCTCTCCCCTCCATTCAGTGGTTCCATGTTTGTGCTTGACCTTGTGGATGTTTTAACAAAAGTCAGCTTGGGCAGCCATAAACCTCCAAAGCACTCCTGAGATGTCTGTGTTCTTTGTCTGTAGACTATTGTTACCATTTCAGTCTGGTGTTGTAGAGGTCTGATAATCAAAAGTCTGTGTTCCAGTGGGTGGTGGAAGTCAAAGAAGAGGCAAGCAGCCACCTAATACTGAAAGAGAACATGCCATTGCTGACTTGTTTTCAATGATGAAGACTCTGGAGCTGAGAACTTTAGGCATCATAGACCTAGAACAAGCACGCAGTATAGAGCTGGATTACTGGATATGTACTGTACATGATTGTCAGTGACTCATTAGTGGAACAATGGAGAGTATCAGTTCTGGAGTTTGCACTTATTAAAAAAACAAGTCAGGAATTGCAATTCCCATATTTGTATTTTGTAAGTTTTGTCATTTTCAAATATGAGTTTTGGGTGGTTCACCTTTGCAACTACTTGTCAACTACCACTATTATATATGCAGGTCATTAAAGTGGTTCTAAAGGCAAGACATTTTGACCTTAATGCACTCTTTGCATTAAGGCAGCCTTTCTCAACCAGGGTGCCCAGGCACCCTGGGGTGCCTTGAGGTTTTATCAGGGGTGCCTTGGCAAAATGTCTAAAAATTGCCCAAAACATGTACACAAGCTAGTGGGTGGAACAAGCCTGCCTTTTAGTTACACAAAGCCACGGGTATTCATTGTGCACCATTACGACCTTCTAGCCGCCGGTGTCCTGACAACCAATGACATCATCAGTTGATAAGGAGGATGTCAGCTGCCTGCACAGCATCCTAGTTTCACCCTCCCCTGCCCCCTCCATCAGTGCCGTGATCACAGTAGCTCAGTGATGGAGAAAAACTGAGGGAGAAGAGAAACACTGGAATACTAGTCAGTACCTGTGTGCAAAAGTGTATTTGCTTTGGAAGAATAAATCTCCTCTAATGTTGGGTGTCCTACATGTGTGGATGTTGCTGCGTTATATAAAACTATTAGAATAGTTTTTCACATTTTAGAATGGGGTGCCTCAAAATTGTCCACACTTTTAATGGGTGCCTGGGGACTATATCTATAATTTTAAAGGGTGCCTGGGGACTATCTATAATTTTAAAGGGTGCCTGGGGACTATCTATAATTTTAAAGGGTGCTTGGGCACTATCTATAATTTTAAAGGGTACCTGGGGACTATCTATAATTTTAAAGGGTGCCTCGGGACTGTCAATAATCAAAAGGGTGCCTTGACTGAAAAAAGGTTGAGAAACACTGCATTAAGATAAAAAAAAAAGTTCTATTAGTTGTATCGCCCCCCTCACCTATACTTACTTGAGTCCTATCTCGATCCAGCTCTGGACTCGTCTGCAGTGGCACTGGTATCTCTTTCTCTCGCTCTCCTTTGCAGGCTCAGAGACAGCCATGGGTTCCTACTGCTATCAGTTAAATTCAGCGGGACTGAGCCACGCTGTGTATGTCAATGGACAAACACAGCCCGACTCAGGAAATAGCTCACAGGTGTTCCACCACAGGAAGCGGAGAAGAGGAGGAGCCTATAGTTCCGGCAGGGAGACCCCAGAAGAGGTTCTGGGCTGCTCTGTGCAATACAATGTCATAGAGTAGGCAACTATTACTTGTTTATTATTGTAATAAAAAAAAATATATCCTTTACAACTGCTTTAACCCTTTACAACAAAATAACAGGAGGGGAACTTATTAAGACTGAAGCAGACAGAATGGAGCAGCTGTGCATGGCAACCAATCAGCTTCTATCTTCCACTTACAAAGCTTATTTGCACAAACTGAAGAAGGAAGCTGATTGGTTGCCATGCACAGCTGCTTCAGTCATGGTAAATCCCTCTCTACATGTATGATCACAGGTCAGTATGTAATGGTATACAACCTGTACATGGTACATAGAAGTGTTTCTTGACCTTTTTTCAGTCTAGGCATCCTTTAAAATTATTCACAATCCCTAGGCACCCCATTCTAAAATAAGAAAAAACCTAAACCAATAGTTTTACATTATGCAGCAGGATCTACAAACATAGGACCCCCAACATTAAAGGTGATTTTTTTTTACAAAGTGTATACACCTTTGCAGACTGACATTGACTAACATTCCAGCATTCCTCTTCTTCCTCATTTTCTCTTCCTCATTCGCACCTCAGTGCTAACGAAGAGGAGCAGTGGAGCGGCAAACAAGGACAGCCTCAGGTGCTCAACATCCTCCTTAGCAACCTATTACATCAATGGTTGTTGGGACACTGGCAGCTGACCCACATGGAGCCAATGGTTGTAATGCTGCACAATAAAAAACTGTGGCTGTGTGTAACAAAAAAAAGGCAGGAGTGATCCACCACCATGACAATTTGTGGACAATTTGAGACAATTTTTAGGCATTTTGCTAAGGCACCTTTGGTTGATAAAAAGCTGATATATAGTGGGGGAGATTTACTAAAACTGGAGCACTCAGAATCTGGTGCAGCTGTGGATGGTAACACATGAACATCTAACTTCAGCTTGTTCAGTTAAGCTTTGGCAATAAAACTTGGAAGCTGAATGGTTTCTATGCAGAGTTGCAACAAATTTTGCACTCTCCAATGTTAGTAAATAACTCATTATGTGTCATCATATCATATATTCTCTTCACATATACATATACGTTCCTGCCATTGCACATTATATATTGTGCATCAGTGCATGGATATGGTTAATAGATGGATGTCACCTTTTCTAGCTCTGGTAAAGTCCTAAAAGGCAAAGTGATTGTCTTTTTTGAGTGATTATTATTGTTTAGGTATGCATATGCTAGAGTAGTAATTACTCAGAGGCTTGTCCTGTGTTGTTGACCCTCTATAATTAACAGTTCCATTTATTTTGATGAGTGTCAGTCCACTAGTGATCTTAAATTGTATATATACCACCAAAGTTGATTCCTATTTGCATTTTCCATGTTTATTTGTAACACTTCAATGGCCTATGGAAATTAGCTAAATTACAGGCAAATAGCTTAATAAACACTAACATATAAAATGTTTTTTCCCCAAAGCAATTGGTATTCTGTTCAGCCAGTCTTGCGATGCAGGCACTGTCTGTCAGACAGCACAGTCAGGCTCTGGATCTCTCTACACCACAGTAAAATATTATGGCCTTTTCCGGGATTCCCTTCAGCCTGTGACTGGAAAACAAATGAGCATTGGCATACTCAAGAGATTGGCAAACCAAATGAGTCCTGACTGGGTCAGACAGTTAAGCCTGCTATTCCCAGGGTAGAGCTGTACAAGGCATTTCAGAAGTATGATATAATGATAAGTATTAGGATAGATACAATTACTTATAATGTTTATACATACAAATAAACATATGTGATTTGTTTTGTTACAAATTGAAATTCAAAGAAAATTTTCATTATTCATTTCATTCATTATTCATTTCATTATTTTTCATTATTCAGAGATTCAAATGTATCTGAAATTCCGAATCACAATAGTAATGAATTTCAACAAATCCGAAATAATTAATAACAAAATGAATTATCCAAATTTAAATTTGAAAATTAATTCAAATTTGAAATGGAAACATACTGCAGTAAATACAGTAAAGTATAAAAGTGAAATAAGATGATGATTCCTACTTCAGCTGCTTTATAGAACAGATTAGAATAAAATACACAGTGGCTAAATGGTTAGCCCTTCTGCCTGGCAGTACTAGGGTTGTTGGTTTGAATCCAAACCATGGCACCACCTGCCTGGAGTTTGCATGTTCTGCCTGCGTGGGTTTCCTCTGGGTACTTCAGTTTCCTCCCATACTCCAAAGACATGCTGGTAGGTGAATTGGTTCTGTCTAAATTGTCCCTAGTATGTGTATGTATGAATGTGAGTTAGGGACCTTAGATTGTACACCCCTTGAGGGTTAGGGACTGATGTGAATGTACAATATATATGTAAAGCGCTGCGTAAAATTGACAGCACTATATAAGTACCTGAAATTAATACCGTAAATAAATAAATAGAATATAATAGAATAAAATAGAATATAAATTAAAAGAATAGAATAAAACAATATAATAGAACAGAAAACAAAGGACTAAAATGGAATAGAAAATAAAAGAACAGAATATAATCAAATAGAATAGAAAATAAAGGAATATAGTAGTATAAAATAGAATAGTAAATAAAAGAATAGAACAGAAGAGAAAAATAGAATAGATTAGCCATCTTTCAAAATTCAAATTTTGAAATAACAAATACATGAAATGAATATAAATATACAAAACAAATTCTGAAAACGAATCATTTTAACATAATGGATATGATGAAACTAAATTATTATCCTAACTAATGAATCCAAGAGGAAACTAAACAAATTTTTCCATCATGCACATCTCTCTGTACAAATATTTTTATATTTAAAGTAAACTGTCTCTTTGCTCATTCAGGGTAAAGTGACAGGTTCTCTTGATGCGACCACCCTACTTCCACTGATCCTCATCTCACAGTATCTTCTGCTCCATTCACCTGCTGAGGCCCAACAAATACAAAATTAGGTGTTATTTTTACATCTGCCTAGCGTTCAGGTTACAAAGGAAAGGGAGAAGGTTTGTAAATATTTTTACATTTGTGAATGTTTTAAAACATATTTTTGTTACACAAAGCTATTTTAGTTAAATATTACAGTTTTTATTTTGTTTCCATAGAATGCTCACTAAAAGCAGCCTACCTGTTCTCTCCTGTCCTGTGATATCCCACAGGGTAGATGAAGAGATACGTCTGATGTTGATGCTGAGAAAATATATTTGTACATGATCTGTTCCAAGAGAATCACATTTAAATGCAAAATGTCTTCTCTCTGACACCTGAATGTATCCACAGTGAATAATTTCAATTTTTTTTTAAATTTTTCTCGCAGAGGGAGGCTTTTTGTGTATAGGGGCTCATGTAGAGGGGCGTTCTTGTCAATTGCAACCCTTTCTATTGAAATGAAGTGCTGCTCAAACGCATGCATCCAAATTTAAAACCCATTGACCTTTATTTCCTGCACCTCGATAGAATATGTTTAAAGAAACACAATGCAGTTCATATGCAGCTTTGGAAATGTCATCTATACTACCGGCCTGACCTGTGTTTCACGTGCGTTTTAAATGCTAAACAAATTCAGAAAAACAACGCCTGTCTACAAGCCCTTATGTCATGCAGTCACACCTGAAAAGAAATACAGGCAAGAACATGTTGTCATCCCCGTGATATTTTGTTGTCACCTTCCCACAAATGGTGCGCTCATTTTGTCTGCTAAGCACTTATTCTGCTTCATGAACCATATGATCTTTCCTAGATTACGTCCATGTTACAGTATAGAGAATGTCACCCACCTCACTATTCTCGGGGGCAGTACCATGTGTACATGCTCACAGACAGGCATCACTGGGGCAGAAGACGTTAAATTATTGATAATACATCTTATTTCCTATATTACTGAAGTACCAACGTATTCCACACTGCTTTGCAGAATGCAAATAAAATCAAACAAAAACACCACATCACTTCCTGCGTCTGTAGGAGCTTACAATCTAATATCCCTACCTCACTTATACCAACATCTGCACATAAAGGGCATCATAACTAGATACCACATACCTTACCTGCATATCTTAAGTCTAGGTCACACTTGCAAGATATTGTCAGCAGCATCACTAAAGTTTAGCTTTTACCTTCCTATATACATCTTCATAGAAGCACAGTTTTCTTAATAAAAACTAATTTTATAATATAG